TAGATGCCTTCTCTTCAACATGACCTTGTTGGCAATATCCAACTTCCATGCCCGAATGCATCTCCCCTTATGAACTTCCTAGCACTTTAAGATCATCGGGGGAGGCCCTGCTCTTGATCCTGCTTTCGTCTCAAGTACGGTTGGCGGGGAAGAGAGACAGGGCCTTCTCAGCGGTGGCACCTCGGCTATGGAATGCTCTCCCTAGAGATATTAGGTCAGCCCCCTCTCTTTTAATATTTTGGAAGAAAGTTAAGACTTGTCTTTGTGAGCAAGCGTTTGCAAACACAGCGTAATGGACATAGGATAATGGACTGACCGGACAAATGAAATTGGACAACGGTTTTAACAAAGAAACTTAGATGATTTATGTTTTTTCTGGATTTTATCATGTTTTTATACTATCTTTACTGTTTTATTGTATTTTTATGCTTTGATGTCTGACTGTAAATTGCCCTGAGTTGCCTGCGGGCTGAGAAGGGCGGTATATACTCAAAAACCACTGGGGCAATTGGCAACAAATTTGGACACGATACACCTAACAACCCAATGTATGTTCTCCACTCAAAAAAAACACGAAAACAAAAAGCAGAAAGGACTTCTGAACTACATGTTCCCAAAGGAGAAACTGCATGTCTACAAAGAGACCCATGGCCACGCCCCCTCCTCCTCCTCGTGGGGAAACAGCCGGCCATTAAAGCCAGGTGCATGTGCACAGCCACACACACAAGCTGGAGTGCAGGTAGAGGCTTCCTGCATGGAGTCCCTTCTCTTTCCCTGCTATGTCAGGAGGGCAGTCTCCTCCTCCTTTCCCTGTTGGAAGAGGCAGCAGCGGAGCTCCCAGGCAAGGGACAATGACGAGGAGGAGGCAAGGAAGGTTGACGGTGCTTGAGTGAAGGACCTTCCTGCTCTCCCTCACTCCCTTCCCCCTCTTTCCTCCCTCTCCTTCTTTCCTTCCTTTCCTTCTTTCCCTCCTTCCCTTCCTTCCTGTCCCACCTTTCTTCTTTCTTTCCTTCTTTTCCTACCTCTTTCCCTCCTTCTTTACTTTTCTTAATTTCCTTCCCCTTCATTTCCTTCCCTCCTTTCTTCATCCCCCTCCTTCCTTTCCCTCCTTCCTTCCTCTTTCCTTCGTTCTCCTTCCTGTCTCTTCTTCCTTCCCTTCTTTCCCTCCTTCCATCCCTCCCTTTCTTTTTCCTTCCTTCCTGTCCCTCCTTCCTTCCTTCTTCCTTTCCTTCTTTCTATCTAAGGTATAAATACAATATTACATGTGACAGACAAGAACGAGAGAAAGAGGGAAAGAATGAAAGAGGGAAAGGGGGAAGGAAGGAAGGAGAGAAGGAGGAAGGGAATGAGAGAAGGAAAGAAAGAAAGGCAGAGAAGCAACGAAGGAGAGAAGAAAGTGAAAGGAAAAAGAGAGGGAAGGGAGAGAAGGAACGAAAGATAGAGAAGGGAGGAAGAAGGAAAGGAAGGATGTAACCAAAGAGCAAAGAAGGGGAGGAAAGAAACAGGTAGAGATGGAAGAAAGAACAGAAATAGGGAAAGAAAAAGAGGAAAGGAAGGAACGAGGGAAGGAAGGAGCAAAAGAGGGAGGGAAGGTTGGCCACAGCAACGCGTGGCGGGTACAGCTAGTAATAAATAAATAAATAAATAAATTTAAATATGGCGCTTGTGTCCCTTTTCAAGATAAACATACAAGGTGGAAAGTCACAAATCTATGGGCCTTTTCGAGAAATCTTGTGTATCAAGTTTATGTAGGGATTCTCTGAGAGAGCCAGCTCTTTTTGTCTTAGTACTGTCCAAACATAGTTGAGATGTCTACAGGATGGACGCCCATGAAGATCTTTAGAAGACTGGTTTCAATCTGTCATAATGGGAGAACCTCAATTAGTACACTATTAGGATATTGGATTACCCAGCAGAACAAATGTACTTTGTAATCGGAGGTCATGTCTGCCTGCCCTTTCCAGTCTGTAGAGAGCTGTCCAGCTTTTCAGCAACTTCTGTTCAACACTGAAGGTCAACCTGTCAACTTAATCGTTCTGGTTTCAAACCTTTACTTTCCTAGAACTGATTGCTGTGGTTTCGTTGCATATGTTTCTTTTTCGACTTGCCTGTTCTCATCTCTGCTCAAATTCCAACTGTTCTAAAACAGCAGTCAGCCAATTAATTACAACGAAGGAAGAGTTGGCTCTCATGTGTCGTTGAATATTCCTCCTCACCTAATTTGCCCTTTCTTCTATTTTAACTGGTGGAGAGAATGGTGAATCAAGGACTTTGTATTTTGGTGGGACAGGCTCTTGTGTGCTTCCTTTTTTATGGTCGATGGGCTCGGTTTTTATAAACCACGTAGCATTTCGGGAGGTGATACAAAGGGATACAAAGGGATCTCTTTACACCCTGATTTAAAGGGTGGTATTGTAGTTCAACCCATGTTTGTAGCTGATATTGATGTAAATGTGGAAGTGTATCATGGAAACTTTGGGCCTGCAAGCCAACATAAGATTTTAAGTCCTGAAAATGATCAGTCTGTTTCCAACAGTTAGTGGTCAGTGTATTGTCGAAGGCTTTCATGGCTGGAATCACTGGGTTGTTGTAGGTTTTCCGGGCTATACGGCCATATAATGCCTCTAGAACATGGCCATATAGCCCGGAAAACCTACAACAACCCAGTTAGTGGTCACATTCCAGAAAGGTGCCAGATGGTGCTAAAGAGTCATTTTCTATGGAAATGACTTTAGAGGCAGAGATCCCAACTGGAGAGAACAATGAGTTGCAAGATAATGAGCTGGTTGATAGGAGACTCAGTGTTTGTAAACTTTGTGCTGCTCAACAGAATCTCCAAAGGTCACAGCGCTTGTTAGAGAAGAGATCTGTATCAGGAAGGCAAGGGAGAAGGCATGATTTCATGTGTATATTAGAGAGACCAGGGGGATTTTCCAGACAGTCTGGTCAATGTTGGTGATTCAGATGACAGCTCTTGCAAATTCCAAATCAAGCTTTCTGTGGGAATTCTAGTTCCATGTCTTTGCTCCTGTTTCATGCTTCCAAGTTTGAAGTTTAGAAATGGATTCTATGCTGCCTTGTTCTCTCTGGTTTTCTTGTAGGGATGTCCTGTTGCTTTGAGATTTTGGATTACTCTTGTACTTTGAACCTTGTGGACTATTTTATACATATAGACTTTGAAGGGGTTTTTTTACTACTTTTGCTACAGCGCTCTCTCTCTCTCTCTCTCTTTCTTTGAGCATCCCAATCCCTGCATATTTCCAATTTCCTATTCCTGGACTGCAACTCCCAGCAATCCTCCAGATGGATAGATAGATAGATAGATAGATAGATAGATAGATAGATAGATAGATGATAGATAGATAGATAGATAGATAGATAGATAGATAGATAGATAGATAGATAGATAGATAGATCAGGAGGACTAATGGGAGTTGCAGTCCAAGAATAGGTAGAGAAGGAAGAACGGGGAGAAAGGGGAAGGGAAGGAAAAGGGGGAGGAAGGGAAGAGAAAGAGAAAGAAGAGAAAGAGAAGGTAGGAAGGAGAGAAGGAAAGAAGAAAAGGGAAGGAAGGAGAGAAAGAAAGGAGGAGAGAAAGAGGAAGGGAAGGTTGGCTACAGCAATGTGTGGCTAGTAGATATATATCCCCTACCACACATTGCTGTGGCCTAGTCTGTGTATTTTGTGTGTGTGTCTATATGTGTGTGTATATATATATTTGTGTATACGGGTGTGTTTGCATATATATATATGTAGTCAGGGGCGGCTCAACCCATTACACAAAGTAAGCATTTGCAGTATAGTTATTTTGCCCAGGGGCGCTCTTGAGGCGCTCTTGGGGGAAAATAGACCTTGACATATGCAAGTTGTAGTTACTGGGATGTATAGTTCACCTAAAATCAAAGAGCATTCTGAACTCCACCAATGATGGAAATGAACTAAATATGGCACACAGAACTCCCATGACAAACAGAATATATATATCAGTGATTGGTTGGGGGAGGGGGGCGCCAAAATACTGTTTGCTTACCATTGAAAATTACCAAGGGCCACCACTGTATGTAGTTTTGTGTATGCGTTGTAATTTTTATATTTTTTTGCTTTGTAAGTTTCTTCTGCAGTGTTTTTCAGTGTTTTATGAGTGATGGTCATGTGATGGCCTGATAGGTGTGTTGTGTCCAAATTTGGTGTCAATTCGTCCAGTGGTTTTGAGTTATGTCAATCCCACAAACGAACATTACATTTTTATTTATATAGATAGCTATATCTATATCTACACACACACACACAGCTTTGCTGATTTAACTTGGATGGAGTGTGGTAGTTAAGTGCAGAGGTGTTTCCTGGCCCAGAGTACAACAGGTCGTGAGTAGTTGATAGTATTTTGACTTCATTGATTTACCTTCCTTTAGGTTGCCTACTCCAACATATTTTGGATAGTGTGAGATATCTATTTGAGAGAAATGACATATCCCCCAAACAGTAGATGGAAATATGTTGTGTGTTAGAACAAGGTGATGAAACTGAGAATTTCAGTTGTGCAGATATGAGAATTGTACTGTGTATTCAAAAAGGAGTTTCTTTCTATCATGTGGATGAGAAATGGGAATTCCAGCTGAACTAAGTTCTTCTGCGTGATAGATGCTTCTCTTTAGAAGCATGTCTTTGTGGCTCCTTTTGAAGGAACTCACTCAACCATGTATTTGAAAGGAGTTTCCTTTAAGCTAAATGCCTTGCAATGGAGAGCTTATTCAGATTCAGAATGCATTTGGATATGTTAGTCCTCCCCAGTTTCCTTGTTCTTTATGCATGCAGGATTTCCATTGACGGAGTCCAAGGGAACTACTGTCTGTTGCATATCGCTATTGCTTTGATGGTACAATCCTGATAAGAAAATGAAGGCCAGAGACACAAGTTTTCCCTTACTGCCCTCTGATATAACTGTTGCGATGAAGACACTCTCTTTGCATTCCATCCATGTTTGTCTTTTCACTTCCCAGGTTCCCTGAAGAGTCCTGTAAACAAGACAGCCTTGACGTTAATCGCGGTGAGTTCATGCATCCTCGCCATGGTGTGTGGCACTCAGCTGTCCTGCCCATTGACGGTTAAGGTGACACTTCATGTTCCTGAACACTTCATTGCTGATGGTAAGAGCCACTACTTCACTGTGCAGAATAGCTAGATCTTTATGCTTTGTTAAAATCATGCACGACCCTATTAGCTAGGCATATTTTAGTAGTAACTCTCAAGCAACCAGAAGCTACATTTATCCAGTACCTACACATCCTCATGGGTGTCAACTAACTGAGAGTGTAATGTATATATACTTTAGTAATAAGAGGTGGGACAAAAGTTTACTGCTGAAGAACTGCTTTAACTTATAAAACCCTTAACTGTTCTGGTCCAGCTTATCTGTCCGAATGAACCTCCCCTTATGAACCATCTAGGACTTTAAGATCGTCTGGGGAGGCCCTGCTCTTGGTCCCACCTGTGTTTCGGATCCGTTTGGCAGGAACGAGAGACATGTCAATGGCCCTGCTCTTGGTCCCACCTGTGTCTCAGATCCGTTTGGCGGGAACGAGAGACATGTCAATGGAATGGCGACGATCTCAGCACACACAAGGCACTGAAACACATCTTCTTTTCTAAAACCTAATTTATTTAACACAAAACTAAAAAAATATTTACACTTGAACAGTGTTTCTCAACCTTCCTAATGCCACGACCCCTTAATACAGTTCCTCATGTTGTGGTGACCCCCAACCATAACATTATTTTTGTTGCTACTTCATAACTGTAATTTTGCTACGGTTATGAATCGTCATATAAATATCTGATATGCAGGATGTATTTTCATTCACTGGATCAAATTTGGCACAAATATCCAATACTCCCACAGTGGGGTTGCGGGGGGTTGATTTTGTCATTTGGGAGTTGTACTTGCTGGAATTGATAGTTCTCGTACAATCAGAGAGCATTCTGAATTCCACCAAGGATGGAATCAAACCAAACTTGGAACACAGAACTCCAATAACCAACAGAAAATACTGGAAGGGTTTGGTGGGCATTGACCTTGAGTTTTGGAGTTCTAGTTCACCTACATCCAAAAAGCACTGTGGACTCAAAACAATGATAGATCTGGACCAAACGTGACACAAATACTCAATATGCCCAAATATGAACACTGGTGGAGTTTGGGAAAAATAGGCCTTGACATTTGGGAGTTGTAGTTGCTGGGATTTGTAGTTTTCTGAACCCCCCCCCCCAACAATAGAATTGGGCCAAACTTCCCGCACAGAACCCCCATGAGCAACAGAAAATACTGTGCCTTCTGATGCTCTTTGGTGACCCCTCTGACACCCCCTCACAACCCCCCCCCCCGGGAGTCCCGACCCCCAGGTTGAGAAGCACTGCACTAGAAGCTAAGCAGAACAAGAAACATCTCGAGTGGCTACATGGTTCGGCTTTTCCTTGTTATCTAGTAATCAGGCACCTCCTTACATTCCACAGTGACGTGATGACATACGACGCAACACAGCATACAACACTTTCTGCACTGAGGTTTACGACTCTTCCTTCATGATACAGTTAACCCTTTCCACACAGGAATTACATCTCTGGAAGACTGCATTACAAAGCATTGCATTTCTAAGCACATGAACACTAACTTTGAAAACTACAATGCACTTAATCAAAACACAAGAAGACAGGGCCTTCTCAGTGGTGGCCCCTCGGCTGTGGAATGCCTATCTTAGGGATATTAGATTGACCCCCTCCTTCTTAACATTTTGCAAAAAAGTTTAAAACCTGGCTTTTTGAGCAGGCATTTGGAAATGCAATGTAACAGGCAATGATATACCATGGAACGACTGATGATGTGATTGAATAGTGATTTCAGGAAGGAGAAGCTGAGGATTTATGTTTTTATTGACTTTTTATGAACCTATATTTTATATGTGAATGTTTTTAATTGTATTTTATATGTTGGGGGGCATCAAATTGTGCCCAATGTAAACCGCCTTGAGTCTCCTTCGGGCTGAGAAAGGCGATACATAAGCACAGAAAACAAACAAACAAACAAATAAACAAACTCATCCAGAACATCTTATCTGTAAGGACTTGTAGATTGATGCCGCTGCAACACTATTTTGTAAAGAAAACTTTACAAAATTACTACTCTACAGCAGAGTAGCAAAGCACAAGGGCAGATGTCTTAATTGTGTCTGGTTGTGATCCCCAGGTTGTGCCAGTCAGCTTTTGTATGATATGGTTTCTAGCACCCACTTTTTTTTTTTGCATGGCATTGAGCCATGGTAGTTAACGTGGTGTCAAACTGCATCAGTTGTGTAGTGTAGATGGAACTTCAGAGAGCTTCAGTTTTTCAGGTTTGATGATTGAATTTTGAGTTTTTGGTGTAAGCTTCAGCTTAGTTCTCCCATTCTGAAATATCAGCATTATTCATCACACCGAAGTAGTTCTAGAATTTTAAGTTTTTGAGGGCTGGGAGTTGCTTGGCTTAGTCGTTTGCTGGATTTATCACTCGCGGGAATCCCTCTCAATTTGAAAAATATAGTGTGCAAATCAGCCCGGAGGCAGCCAGCCTTTGGTTGCCAGTCCCTCATCTTATCTGAATTAAGAAGTATTTGCCTCTAGGGCTCAGGAAACCAATGTATTTCAGTTTCTCAATGTCACCCGAAAGTCATATCAGAGAGTGGGCAGAAATGATCTGGTAGGGGAATTGCAAGGAAGGGGGTGGATCGTTCCAGCTGGAGCATAATTGACAACGTTGTGTGGGAGAGGCCGCTCTCTCTGCCTTCCTTTTCAAACTATGTCATCCGCACCGTTGAAAAACCCCAGGAACAGGCCTCAAAACCAACACACCAAGAATTCGGTTTTTGTTTATTATTTTGTGGATTCCGAAGTCAAAGAGGATAGATTTTTGTCAGACTAGAGTTTGGCTTCATTTTTATTTCCCTCCTTTAAGGAGCTCCCGGTTAAACGCTTGTGCCAGCAGGACTGAAAGGTTGGCAGTTTGAATCCAGGGTGAGCTCCCATCTGTCAGCTCCAGCTTCTCATGTGGTGACATGAGAGAAGCCTCCCACAGGATGGTAAAACATCTGGGCATCCCCTGGGCAACGTCCTTGTGGACAGCTAATTCCCTCATACCAGAAGCGACTTGCAGTTTCTCAAGTCACTCCTAATACGAAAAAAGTACACATTTGAACTCTCACCATGAAATAAAGAGACCAGACACAAGGAAAGGGATCTAAAGGGCGACTACTGACCTATTGATTGAAATAATTCATAATAACCTGTAAAGGGTGTGGGGTACCAAGAGCACACAACGTCCTTGCTACACCAGCTCCACTGGCTGCCTATTAGTTTACAAGCATAATTCAATATTCTGGCTTTAGCCTATAAAACCCTTAACAGTTTTGGCCCAGTTTACCTATCCAAACGTATCTCCCTCTATGAACCATCTAGGACATTAAGATCATCGGGGGAGGCCCTGCTCTTGGTCCCTCCACCATTGCAATCACGTTTGGCGGGGACAAGAGACGGGGCCTTCTCCATGGTGACCCCTCTCCTATAGAATTTCTTTTCAAATGAGATCAGATCTGCTCCATCATTCATGACCTTCTGGAAAAAAAGTGACCTCCTCACGTGGATCAGCCAGCTCCAAACAAGTCTTACTCCTTCATAGGGTCCCTCTATAGACCAGCTCGGAGACAGCGGTCATAGGAGGAGGTCCTCCTCTCAGTTCCACCCCCATCCCAAGCATATCTGGTGGGAACGAGAGAAAGGGCCTTCTCCGTGGCTGCCCCATACCTTTGCTCACTGGCTTACGAGGAGGAGGAACAGTAGTTGGTAATACTACCATTATAACTCTGATTAATAGTTGCCCTGCCCACCTCATCAGCTCAATAGATATCTTGAGCAATAATTAATTGATTTGCCCCAAGGAAATGGGAAATTATTGCCTCCATTCGATGTTTGATGTTTTTGTCTTATGTCTGTTATAACAGGCTGTGTTTTTTATTTAATTTTAGTTGTTAAGTTATAATTCGTGTTTATATGTCGGGTTGTTTAATTTTTTTTAGTATCGATGTATTGTTGCTATATTTGGGCATTGAATGTTTGCCTTTTATGTTTGGAATCCGCCCTGAGTCCCTTTGGGGAGATAGAGCAGAATATCTGGCGTTTCTTCCTCTCTTTTCCTGTTCCTAAGGCCATGAAATTACTAATGAGAGTGAGAGATAGAGATAGAATATGTGATGCATGAGTTGGGTACAATTGTCATTCCCTCTCCTTCCCTCCATGAGCTTTGGTGTCCTTTTCGGCACAACATTCAAAGAACATCCAGCACAGACTCTTGGAAACATAAGAGCCAATTCCATTTTCCTCCTCCAGACAGACCTATCATTCAATTGGCTCCCATTCTTCGGTGCTTGCACATTTCCTTTCCGTGAGGGCAAATGAAAGAACGTCCTTATCCTCAAGATCAAATGAGTTGAACTAAGCTCACAACTGAGTGTGCTCTTGGCAGCTGCTGTTGACATATGTTTTTGGTCTGGAAAGAACAAAAAAAACACACAGATATTTCTTGTTAGAAATGGTTGTCACTAAAGGCTTCCCATCTTTAGGAAATGAACCTGGGATGTAGTCAGGGGCGGCTCATCCATTACGCGAAGTAAGCGGTCGCAGAACACTTTTTTTTGCCAGGGGCGCAGAGGCGCCTCTGTAAATGCCCCTCGACCACCACTTGAGGAGTGCCCCCTCAGCTCACAACAGCCCTAGCAGTCCGGGGGGAGCCTCGGCTTTCTTGCCTCACTGGCGGGCGATCCTCTTCCCAAAGGGGCCGGTCCCTTGAGTCTTGCCTAGCCCCTCTCGTTCCTGCTCCACCTGGCCACCGGGTGCGCGAGCAGAGCCAGCGCTCAATCGTTCTGCCAGTTCGATCCCTTCCCCATGACCGGCTCCCTTTCCCGATCCCCCAGCGCTCCACCCGCCTCCTCTCCTCTGCCCTATCCGCGGGTGGGCCAAGCGGCGGAGCCGCTGCGTCTGGCCCGTTTCAGGTCCGGAGGCATGTCTGAAGACCCCAGCGTGCGCACCAAAAGTCGCCTCTTCTCCTGACTTTCTCTTCAGCCAT